GAAAACAAGCTGGCAGCTTGTGGCGAGATCTTGCTGACGGCGGGATCTCTTTTGAGTTGGAGAAATTCAGTGACCTCATCCGAGAGGATTTATAGAGCACTGGGGGCCATTTAACCCCACTCACGATTCCCAAAAGAGTTTCAGAACTTGCTGAAAGGGATGAGGTAAAGTCGGAAGAAACACACAACCTGTTTATATCCACATCTGCTTTGGGCAGCTCACGTTATGGGGCAGGGATTTAAAAAAGAAGAAGAAAATAATAGAATTGTGCAAGTTAGACCTAAAACATGTGCAGAGAAGAACAATAAAGATGATAAAAGGCCTGGTGGCTAAACCATACCATGAATGTGTTGAGGGAACTAGTTAAGTCTAGCCTAACAAAGAGAAGGACTAGGGTTGAGATGATAACTGTCTTCCAGTACTTGGGGGGCTGTCGTAGAGAAGAGGGGGTCCACCTATTTTCCAAAGCACCAGAGGGCAGGAGAAGAAGTAACAGGTGGAAGATTATCAAAGAGAGAACCAACCTAAAACTAAGGAGAAATTTCCTGACAGTGAGAACAATCAACCACTGGAATCAGTGGTGGATTGCCCCCGGTTCGGACCGGTTCGCAAGAACCGGTAGTAAAACCGGCGGGAGGCCCCGCCCACTGCCCTGGATGTCATAATTGGCGATCTGTGCATGCACAGAAGCAAGGCGCGTGTGCGATTCGGTTGCAAGCTGGTAGTAAAGGTAAGTAGAACCCACCCCTGATTGGAATGGCTTTCCTTCAGAAGTTGTGGGTCCCTCCCTGGAGGTTTTTAAGAAGAGACTGGACAACCACTTGACCAGGATAGTACAAGGTGTCCTTCCTTGGCCGGGGGGTTGGCCTAGAAGACCTCTGAGGACTCTTCCAGCCCTATGATTCTATGTTCTATTCAGGAAGCAAATGTAAAGTATGTGAGGAAGACTTTGAGAGGCGGAGGAAAGGAGATTCTGCTTAGGGAAAAGATAAGAGACAGCAAAGCCCTCTGCTCCATAATGGGCGGAGAAAGAGATTCAAAAGTCTCCCCTCCTTAATTTCTCAGGCTGTGAAAGAAATGGTGGGAGATTTGTACTTTCAGACATGTAAAATTCTATGAATGTAGCTTTCGAATAAAGTAGAATTAGCACACCTGTCATGTTTCCTGCTTGGTCTACCTGGAAAGGCTGTCATCAGGAGCGAGATTATTCTGCTAGAGTTCCTTATCACACATATATTAATTCTTTTTAGCGCAATTCCCTTCCCGAGTGTTGTCTGGCCCCATTTAACCTGGTTTGCTCTATCGCCCTTTTTCTGTGGCTCTGGATAATACGTGAATCATGCACCAATCGGAGGGCCGAATTGGTTTTTCTGCAATTGGCCTTACTCATTGGCCAATTTGCAGGGAAATGTCAAGCAAAGGGTGTAAATGATTTAATTTGACAATCTGCTGCAAATCTGTACCCGGAGGCTTCGGTTGCGGTGCCACGTAGCCAACGTGTTGATTGAAAAAAAATAATAATAATAAAAATAACCACGGCTGTAGGGGAAATGAAATGAACGAGGTTCCATACTTCTCCGTTCTGCTTTTGACTAACAAGCTAAGACTCGGTCTTCAGACAGATTGTCCTGATGGGGTTTTTGAACTTCAAAAACTAGAAGAATTTTAAGCGAAGTTCCGTTACCCATTGGAGAAAAAAATATATAGATTTCTGAGGTAAATTGAAACGAGAACCAGTACGAAAAGCTGCAAGCTTTGTTTAGTTGCGTGCATAAAGTATCGATGCACCCGTCATATAATAATTTATTCCCTCTTTCTTTATAAAACCGAGCTGCTCCCAGGGGTGGGAAGGTGGGTGGCAGCCTCAGAAAAAACTTCTCCCTTTTCCGAAAGCTGCGCAAAGGCTCCATACCTTCGTGCTACCCACAAACTTGTCAGAAAAGATTAATTAACAAATTAGGATGGTGCTGGGATGTTGGCGAGGAAAAAAGAAAGGTCATGCGTTTTTAAAATCAATTCCTCCCTTCGCACAGCCCAATTTTCATTTAAGTGTAATTGTGCGAAGGGGAGAAAAATTACTATTAAAAATGTGGGTAGAAAGGAATTTTGGCGAAGTGACATGGCGAGGTATCTTAGAGGCAGGTAGGTGTGTTTTAAACGGCCTTCTGCTCACACTTTTTTGTAAAAAATAAAATAAAATACAGTATGGAGGTGAAAGAACTGGAAATCACCGGTAATTTACACCTCTAGGCATTTGTGACTTCTTCATTTTTTTTTTCCTTTAAGTAGATTTATTTAAACAAAAGTGGTGGAAAATTCATGGGGACCCCGAAGAATAAGTACTGTACAACTCTGCAACTCGCTCCCCCCCCCCCAAAGGAAGAGTGAAAAACACAATCAGGTTTCTTTCAAGTCGTTTTTGGCTCGTGACAATTTCATAGAGGAGAACCAGGCAGGACTTTCTTGCCGGAAATAGTAATAGCATCTGTTATTTTCAAAGCAAAGTTTGTTTCTCCGGTTCAAAGAATTTTTTTTCAATATTTTCCCATTCAAATATCTAACCAAGCTGGAGCCTCCTGGATTTACACAACATTAATAAGGAGGTGTCCATTTGTGAAAAGTAGCTTTAACTGCTGCTAATGTTTTCAGCTTCCCTTTGACAAGCACAATGAGGAAAGAAGGAAGGAACAGAGGGAGGGAGAGAAAGGAAGGAAAGAAGGGAGGAAGGGGGGGAGGGGAAGAAAGAAAGAAAGAGAGAGAGAGAGAGAGAGAGAGAGAGAAGGTGGGAGGGAGGGAGGAATGGGAGGAGGGGAAGAAAGGGAGAAAAGAAGGAAAAAGGAAGGGAGAGGGAGGGAGGGGAGGAGGGGAAGGGAGGGAAGAAAGAGAGGAAAGGAGGAAAGAGAAAAATAAAGGGAAGGAAGGAAGGAGGAGGGAAGGAGGAAGTGGGGAGAGGAAGGGAGGGAAGAAAGAGAGGAAGGGAGGAAAGAAGGAAAAAGAAAGGGAAGGAAGGAAGGGGGAGGGAAGAAGGGGAGGAGGGGAAGGGAGGGAAGAGAGAAAGGGAGGAAGGAAGGAAAGAAGGAAGGAAGGAAGGGGGAGGAGGGGAAGGGAGAGAAGGAAGAGGGAAAGAAGGAAAAAGTAAGTAAGTAAGTAAGTTGGTTTTATGATCCTCAAATTTAGGATGAGATTTCTTTCCTGGAAAAAAAAAATAAAATAGTGACATCCAGCTGGCTCAGAATCCAGCAAGTCAAAAGGTTGATGGGATGGATGTAACCAGAGAGACACCCATTAACTTCTAACCCCTCCATCCAGCTCTAAAATCCACACAGTCTAACAGGGCATAAGAAACACATCTGGATTTCGTTTCTTGATTTAAGGCACACACACATTTGTCTTGCTAAGACCGGGATCAAACCAGGGAAACCAACTGAGAAAGTTAGCGGCAAAATCTGCTGCTGAGATAGCATTTAAACCTGTTTTTTTTTAAATATATATATATATATTATTATTATTATTATCAAACTCGGCAACTTTTAAGATGTGTGGACTTCAACTCCCAGAATTCCCATGCTGGCTGAGGAATTCTGGGAGTTGAAGTCCACACATCGTAAAGTTGCCAAGTTTGCAAACTGTTCTTTAGAAAGGCACTTAACATTCTACGCTAAAACAAACCCAGACTCATTACGTTGATTATGGTGTCTCAATTCAACTGTACCCACCGAGCATCTAACTGCTGGCATATCAAACAACCCACTTTTCCGTACAGCAAATGGCCCAGGCAGCCCCATCTATTAATAATAAAGTTGACATTATTGCAATCTTTCACATTTACACTTGTATAGATTTATTTTCCCATCTGCTGTTCTCCGGAAATTAGTTTATTTTGCACCCGCATGATGAAGCCAATGCTTGTTATTTTCTTTTTAGGAACTCTGCTCCCCACCCTCCCACCCCACCCCCCAAAATATAATGAAATGTGGTCATGGTAGCAATTACCCATTTCTTTTCTAACATTATGATGGACTTTGGAGGGGTGGGTAAAAAAGGAGATTTAATTCCCCCAAGGGAGGAAGAAGTTTGGATGCCTGGCAGAAGGAAGAGAAGAAGGGAAGGGAAGGGAAGGGAGAAATGGGATGGAGAGGGAGGGAGGGAGGGAGGAAGGAAGGAAGGAAGGAAGGAAGGAAGGAAGGAAGGAAGGAAGGAAAAGAATGAGGAAGAAAGAAAAAAATGGCAGGAGAAAGAAAGGAAGGAAGGAGAAGAAAGGAAGGAAGGAAGTAGAAAGGGAAAGAAAGAAAAAGGAGAAAGAAAGGATGGAGGAAGGAAGGAAAAAGCAGAAGAAAAAAGAATGAGAAAGAAAGAAAAAGATGGCAGGAGAAAGGAAGGAAGGGGAAGAAAGAAAAAGGAAGGAAGGAAGAGAAAAGAAAGAAAAAGAAGAAAGAAAGAGAAAGAAGGAAGGAAAGAAAGAAAGGATGGAGGAAGGAAGGAAAAGGCAGAAGAAAAAAGAGCGAGAAAGAAAAAGATGGCAGAAGGAAGGAAGGAAAAGAGGAGGAAGGGAGGAAGGAAAAGCAGAAAAGAAGAAGAAGAAAAAAAATGGGAAAGGAGGAAGGAACGAGGGAAGGGAAAGAAAGAAAGAACATTTTCATAAACCTGACATTTGCCCATCACTGAAGAAGAGAGGCCTTTGCAAGAATCAAGGAGGGATAGGTTCACAGAAACAAAACCCATTTTTAAAACTCTTGAAATCTTTAAAATCTGCCTCCCAAGCTCATTCCACCCATCCCTTTGCTTGTGGTCCAAGATGACACCAAGCCCAAATTTCCTTGCCCCTCCCTCCAGAAAGAACCCCCTCCTCCTCCCTGATTCCCTTCTGAGGTCCCTCCTGGCCTTCTCCACCCTTGCATCTCCTCAATTTGGTGTCCACCTTGAGGGAAAATCAAGTGGTTTCAGCTCTGGTGGGGGAGAGAAGAGAAGAGACCCACCCAGAGCTTCGATGCCCCCCTTACCGTCCATCCTCCACCATCGGTGGTCATGTCACAGTAAACCTGGAACCCCTCGGGGTAGTGGGTGGGGAAGACGGAGAAGACCCCATCGCCCTGTTGTCCACCGGCAAAGACGTCAAAACAATCCCGAGGCTTTGAGCCTGCAAGCAAGAGATGGAATAGAAGGATAATGTCAGATCCGTGTATCTGCCATTCTTCTGAGGAAGGGGACTGTTGGGAGGGGTCTCTAATTTCATTTATTCTAGTTGTATGCCCTGAAGAACTTCAGAGCCTGCTTTGAATCTGCCTTGCTATCACCCCTTTTCAGTAAAAGGTTCTTTTTGAAATTCCAGGGGATGCGGTGGCTCAGTGGCTAAGACGCTAAGCTTGTCGATCGAAAGGTCGGCAGTTCAGCGGTTCGAATCCCTAGTGCCGCGTAACGGGGTGAGCTCCCGTGACTTGTCCCAGCTTCTGCCAACCTAGCAGTTCGAAAGCAGGTAAAAAAATGCAAGTAGAAAAAATAGGGACCCCCTTTGGTGGGAAGGTAAGAGCGTTCCATGCGCCTTTGGCGTTGAGTCATGCTGGCCACATGACCACGGAGGCATCTTTGGACAGCGCTGGCTCTTCGGCTTTGAAACGGAGATGAGCACCGCCCCCTAGAGTCGGGAACGACTAGCACGTATGTGCGAAGGGAACCTTTACCTTTGAAATTCCAAGCTTCAAGAGTCTTTACTTTCTTGAACAAGGGGGAGAGGCCTACCGGAAGTTCGGGACCATTTCTGCCCTCCAGAGGGCCTCTGGAGCCCGGGGAGGGCAAAAATGCCCCCCCAACATGATGTAGGAGGCTGACTAGGCCACGCCCACCATGGCCACACCCACCCAGCAACCGGGCAGAGAACCCCTTGCTAAAATTTTTGAAGCCCACTCCTGGGCACAACTGTGGACACAACTCAAGGACCGCCTGCACCGCTGGCTCAAGAAAGAAAAGAGGAGGGATTTGACCCACCATTCGGGCATCCTTTGGGCCGCGTGGTCCGGGATGGGATCCGCTGAAGGTCCGCCTTCATGCGTGGTCGGGCGAGGCCGCGGTCCTTCTGCAGAGTCTCCAGAATATCGCTGACGGAGCTGACCAGCCTCGCTATGTTGGTCTGGCTTTCGGAAAGCAGCTGCACATTAAATAAATAAATAAATAAATAAATAAATAAATAAATAAATAAATAAATAAATAAATAAATAAATAAATATTCTCCAGTTTTTCACTTACTCATTCCTTTTTTTTTTCTTCTCTTTTTGTAAAGACCCTGTGCTTATAGCTAGTCCTCGATTTACGACCGTAATGTAGCCCAAAACCTCTGGGGCTGAGCAAGGAATAGTTATCAAGTGACTTCTGCCCTGTTTTACGACCTTCCTTGCCACCGTTGTTAAGGGAAATCCTGGCCGTTGTTAAGCGAGCAACACGGTTGTTAAGGGGATCTGGCTTTCCCCCCCTTGACTTCGCTGGTCGGAAGGTCACAAAAGAGCATCCCCGCCACCGTCGTAAATACGAGTCAGTCGCCAAGCGTCTGAATTCGGATCACGTGACCGCGGGGGACGTTGCAGCGGTCGTTAAGAGTGAAAAGCGGTCCTAAGTCGCTTTTTTTCCAGTGCCGCCGTAACTTCGAAAGGTCATTAAATGAACCGTTGTAAGTTGAGGACTACTTACAATGAATTTCCGGAAGAGAGTTCCGTTTACAAATTATAAGGCCATTCATTTCTTTCGCCAGAAAAGAAAAAAGGGAATTTATCAAGCGAAGGGGGGGCCGTGCATGGTTTTTATTACAGTGGGAAGAAAATCCAAATATAATAAATAATGATTTCTTTTCACCCCCCGTTTATCTGAAAGCTCAAACGTGATACCTTTCATCAGAAAATTGCTCGTTTCTTCTACCGGCTGCCCCTCACAACAAATCAACAAGTCGTCTCCATCAATGTCTTAATTTGGTCAATGTATTGATCCGACCTTTGGACTGAACTTTTGATTTTTAAGGCGGCTGGGTTTTTTATAGCTCATCGTCAAATATGAGCAATATTTCTTATTCCACAGCCCTGCCGGCTAGGAAAGCAAGATGCTCTTGACGTGTCAAGAGTGGCAGCCTGATATTTATCACAATTTTTGGTGAATCATGCTTGCCAATAAGTATATGGGCCCCACCGCCATTGGCTCTAGTCTCTTTTTGCAAAAAAAAAAACAAAAAAAACCCCCACATTATTTTGATTTCTGCGCAGAAGAAATCTTTAAAAGAGCAGCAGTCAGAAAGTTGCTGGAAAACATTTTCGCCTCCTAAGATTTGGGGTTAGTGACTGAAAAACTGACATCCGTCCTCAAAGCTGAACTCTAAACAAGCCCAAAACTTCCAAATTTGCACCTTACTGGAAAAATATTTATATTTTGTCTTTTAGACCAATGAAAACTTCCCCAAATATATTGGAGCAATACAAGGGAAATCTTTGGCTGAATATTCTAGATGGCTTTAACATTTGAGCACAAATGTTGGCTTATGTTTGTGCCCAAAAAAAAAAAAAAAAAGAGTAATTAGTAAATATCAGATTTAAGTTGTAGATGCCCAGAGAGAAAGTTGGCTGTCATAACTACAGGGAGTCCTTGGCTTATAACCATTCGTTTAGTGACGGTTCAAACAAAGTGACTTGTGGGCTGCTGCCGGTTCGGTAGTTGCGACCTTTGGGTGGGCGTGGCCACCTGCCCGGGCGCAATCCCATCCTATATCACTGTGTTGTTTGACTTGGGACACATATGTGGACGGTGCACGCAAGCAAATTCCCATGTTTTGTGACACTGCACGCATGTGTGGATGCTGCATGCATGTGTGGATGGCGTGCACAAGCAAACTCCCGTGTTTTGTGATGCAGCACGCATCTGTGGATGGTGTGCACAAGCGAATTCCCGTGTTTTGTGATGCAGCACGCATGAATGGACGGTGCATGTACGAGCAAAGCAAACATGTGTGTCTGCACACTCACATTTCTGGTGCTGGGCGAACCGGCTGTTACGGTATGTGACGCCCCACCTCTGTTTGTGACTATTTTTCACACTTATGACCATTGCAGCCTCCTACGTGGTCACGTGGTCAAAATTCAGACGCTTGGCAACTGACTGGTATTTACGACGGTCGCAGCACGCAGCAAAGTCATTGGGGAAGCCAGATTCGTTCATTTTCTCCATTTCGGAGAAAAATTCGAAGACGTCGCCCAACCCATTTCTCCAGCCCCAAATTATTGCCTTTCTGAAAGGCTGTTGAGGCACACGTTTCTTTTTATCTTTCTCTCCTAGTCTCTAAAAAAAAAAATGTTGCTCTGCCGTTAAGGAGAAAATAAATTGTTGTGGGAAACAAAGCTTGGTTATATATCCAAAAAAAAGAGAGAACCATCTCGGCTGCCCTGTTGGGTCCTGCACCTGCTGTTTGCAAAAATTACCCAATTTCCAGCTCAAAGGAGACCGAGTGAGCTAAGATTCTGGAATTCTGTAACAGCCAGGAGTTGATGTCGCTTTGCGAATTGGCATGCTGGAAAAACCTGAGATTCAAACACCGGCCAGCTTTGCAAATGGCCTCCCAAATTTTTTTTAAAAAAAGAAAGAAACACACAAACACACTTGAAAAAGCGAGCTTACAATTGCAAGAAGCGAAAGCAAGGCACTTTGCATTTCATTTGAATTTTTTTTTAAAAAAATCTGCAATTCAGAATAGAATATTGCCCTTGTAAAACAAACGACTCGGTAAAGATTAATTAGCACTTTTAAATTGTGTCAGGTATCGAATTACTGGGCTGGAAGAATTGCCATAAAACGGGAACCTCTTCCAAATATCTTGGGCTGGAGCTGAGATTGTTATAGAATAGAATAGAATTAGAATTAATAGAATGGAATGGAATGGAATGGAATGGAATGGAATGGAATGGAATGGAATGGAATGGAATAGAAGAGTAGAGTAGAGTAGAAGAGTAGAGTAGAGTAGTAGAGAATAGTAGAGTAAAGTAGAGTAGAGTAGAGTAGAATAGAATAGAATAGAATAGAATAGAATAGAATAGAATAGAATAATAGAGGTGGAAGGGACCTTGGAGGTCTTCTAGTCCAATCCCCTGCTTAGGCAGGAAACCCTGCACCAGATGAAGATGGTTGGAAGCTGCAGTTCCAGATTTGAGACTTTCCGATTTAAGAGCGAGGTTGCCTTGATGCTGTCGCTGACTCCCACTCCTCCTCCTCATCTGATTTGGCTGCTGGAGGGGCCGGCGGCCAACAAAGCCACAAAACTACCAAGATTCAAGTTGAATCTCACCTTTTGACGATCAAGTCCCATCTTTGACTCACCTGTATGAGCCGCCCTTGTTCATTCTGGAGGGCGCTGAGCTCTTGCCCGATGGCGCCGTGCCCCTTCTTCAGATTTTCACAGTCTGTCCGGAGCTGCGCGGCATGAGAGAGCAGCTTGGAGACCTCGTCCGAGAGGCCCACCATCAAGGCCCTCTCTTGCCCCTTGGAGGACTTGGTCTCGGCATCGTGGTCCGTCACGACTCTTAGGAGGGACGATTGCAGGCTCTCCAAGCGGACGAAGCTGTTGGCTTGGTTGGGACAGTTGGGGTCAATGAAGATGTTGATGCGGGAACTGTCGGCTTTCTCAATGGTGACCAAAGCATTGGCATCATCCGGGTTGGTGGTGATGACGGGCGGGGATTCGGTGACCGGCGTGTGGTAGTGGTTCATAAAGAGGATGGCAGCCGTGACGGTCACGGCTAAGAGGATCACCACGGACAGAAGAACGGTGCAGAGTATGTAGCCGCAATTCACTCTCTAGGAACAGACAGAAGGCGGGGATAGGGTGAGGTCATTTTGGAAGCCCACCATGACGTCCCATGGAGGAATCCAGCCCAATCCTCCCAGCCCTGTGACCTTCTCTGTGTTCTCACTTAACCCTTGCAATGGGGAGTGATGACAATAGAGTTGGGTCCAGAAAATGAATAATAATCGATAGAGAACAGAACAGAAAGTAGAATTAGAATGTAGAATAATAAAAGGGTTGGAAGGAACCTTGGAAGTACTCAAGCAGGAGAACCTATAGCATTTCAGACAAATGGTTGTCCAAGTTCTTCTTAAAAACCTCCAGTGATGGAGCACCCACAACTTCTGGTGGCAAGCCGTTCCATTGATGAATTGTCCTAAGTGTCAGGAAATTTCTCCTTAGTTCTAGGTTGCTTCTCTCTTTGATAAGCTTCCATCTATTACTACTCTCATCTATCTCTTCCTTTCTCCCTCCCTCCCTACTTCTCTCCCTTCGTGTCTTTTATCCATCCATCCACCCACCCGTCCATCCATCCATCCATCCATCCATCCATCCATCCATCCATCCATCCATGTCTTTTATCCATCCATCCATCCACTCACCCATCCATCCATCCATCCATCCATGTATGTATGTCTTTTATCCATCCATCCATCCATTCCTTCTATCAATCTACCCATGTCTTCTATCATGTCTGTCTCCCACCCTCCCTCCATCCATCCATCCATGTCTGTCTTTTATCCATCCATCCTACCCACCCACCCACCCATCCATCCATCCATCCATCCATCCCTCTTTCTGGGATTTAAAAAAATATCCTACTCCACTTTAATTCCGTGTGGAGATCTGCCAGCCAAGTATTAAAGAAGACAGACGCTCCCTTAGCTTCCAAATGCAGACAAAGTTATTAAGATGGTTGAGAGCCCAATATATCTGCAAGTCAACGGAGGAAAACAGTGTATTAGAAGATGATGATTAATTAAATGTATGTGCCATCCAACTCCCAATGTCTAAAATGAGTCCATTTAAAAAAAAAAATCAGAAGCGTAGAAGAAAATAATGGATGAAAATAAATAATATCCCCATAAATTAACTAATGCAACTAATACAATTGCGGTACCAAAAATAGAAAAACTGTCAATCCAAAAAATAAACAGGGAAAAAAACCCTCCTTTAAAAAAAAATCAACATAATTAACATCAACCACCCAATTCTGCCTACATTCATTTCATCATGTAATAACGTATCAAACTGTGCATCTAAGTTTATTTACTCTCATAAAATATTATGAAATCTGTGCCCAAGGGAAATGATGGTGTAATTTTTTTTTATTAGTAGTTAAAGAAATTGCCTTTTTAAAAATGGGTAAGTGACATATTTCTTGGATCTATTCTTTGATATTTGGGATCATGGTACTTTTCCAATCACTCACTCTTCGTCCCCCACGAATGATATTATAAGCAATACTTTAAAATGATATTATAAGCAATACTTTACTATAGTTGCAGTTCGGGGATATACAGAATATAAGTTCTCGACTTACGACCACAATTGAGCCACAATTTTATGTTGCTAAGTGAGACATTTGCTGAATTTGCCCCCCAAATAGAGGAAAAAGTACAAAGATATAAAGGGGAAAAAAAGAGAAAAGAAAAAGAGAAACATCTGACTTTCTTCAAATGAGCTCTAACTATAAAACACATTAAACTTTTGAGCTAAATTTCAATAGTACACAGCCTCTCTCTAATCGCAAACATTTCTAATGGTCAAATCCCAAAATTAATGTGGCATTTCTTTCAGGCAAAACTGGTTTTCTTCCAGCTGCATTCTCATATTCACACCTTAATCCTTTCCATTGGAAAATAAGATATATATATATATTTTAAAAGTTCAGGCATAGCGATGAAAGCCGGAGGGTTAAGAGAGAATGGAGAGAAATGATTGATAGAGGTAAACAATGCTTGATTTGCCAGAATAAGTCCATTTGTCATTCACACTGTGCAAATAGGGGAGGGGGGAAGAAACTTGGTTTATATTTGGGGTGTGTGCGTTTGGAGCTCTGTCCTTTGGTAGACTGAAAGATCTCCATGTGGATTATCCCCAATTAATTCTGTTCAAATTCTTATTTCGGTTATTGGTTGGTGATTGTTCTTTTCTCTCTCTCTCCCTCTCCATTCCGAATGTTTACGGCATTGTATTCCCTTTTATTCTGCATTTAATTCCTTGCTTTTATGTTCCCCCAAATTGAAAAGCACCTGGATTGTTCAGCACGATGGGTGGATGTATAAATCTAATAAATGAATCGATAAACAGATAAGTAAATGAATAAATCCCTCTAGCTGGCTCCTGTCCTTTTATGCACAGCTGCTTTTCCTAACAGATGTGGTTTATGGGGTCCTTGATGCTCTCTGAGCTTGGTTGTTTTCTTGAAGACGTTTCACTATCCAACTAAGTAATATCATCAGTACTAGAAGGGGGTGGGGTTGGCAGAGAGGAATTGGGGGAGGAGGAGGAGGAGGAGGAGAACGACTGGGAGGTCTTTGATGTTCTCTGAGCTTGGTTGTTTTCTTGAAGACATTTTCTTACCCAACCAGGTAACATCATCAGTACTAGAAGGGAGTGGGGTTTATGGAGAGGAGGAGAAGGAGGAGGAAGAGGAAGAGGAAGAGGAAGAGGAAGAGAATGACTGGGAGGTCTTTGATGTTCTCTGAGCTTGGTTGTTTTCTTGAAGACATTTTCTTACCCAACCAGGTAACATCATCAGTACTAGAAGGGAGTGGGGTTTATGGAGGAGAAGAGGAAGAAGAGGAGGAAGAAGAGGAGGAGAATGACTGGGAGGTCTTTGATGTTCTCTGAGCTTGGTTATTTTCGTGAAAACATTTTCTTACCCAACCAGGTAACATCATCAGTGCTAGTGAGTGTGGGGTTTGCTGTTCCCTGTTTATATACAATTGCTCTAAGCCTCTGGTTGTTTTCTTGCAGATGTTTCATTATCCAAGGAGGTAATATCATCGGTATATTTGCATAATAAGTAAGGGGTGAGAAGATTTCTGTCTTCCATTAGTTCCATAGGCTGCCCCAAAGAAGAGGAGGTCAACCTAGTCTCCAAAGCACCAGAAGGCAGGAGAAGAAGCAATGGATGGAAATCAATCAAGGAGAATTAAGGAGGAATTTCCTGACCCAGAAGGTTGTTCCTTTCCTGAAACATTTTTTGAGACATTCAAAAACCATTTTGAGACAAAAAAACCAGACATTCTTTTGTGTGTGTTTTTGGATTTTTCTTTATCTCTGGGCTGAACGCACACCTTGATGCTTCTCCTGCTGAACCTTGACCGTGGACATGAGGTGCTTGCTGGAAATGAAGACTCGTATGACCCTCGCAACTCTGAAGGAAGATGAAAGAGGAGTGATGGATGGTTCTGCAACCCGGTAGGATAGTAAGTACACTTGATTTACAACTTCTTACAAAGCTGGGAAACTGCTGGTTAGGGTTGAAAGCACCACAGGAGATGGATTCGGGGGCCGTCTTGAGGAACGGCGTTCAATCAAGCTGCCCTCTCTTCACAGAACTGAACCAGACTTGGGCATTGTGCAGTCACTACTCCCATAATTTCTTGGGAGGAGAAACCATCAGAGTTGCAGTCCAACGGATGCTGAGAAGAACAAGTTGAGCTCAGGTAGCCTAGCAAGGCGGCTTAATGCAAATAGGTGCACACATTGCTTACAGGCACAAACATGTATATGTGAGTAGCTATAGGCTTGAATAGAATAACAGAGTTGGAAGGGACCTTGGAGATCTTCTAGTCCAACCCCCTGCTTAGGCAGGAAACCCTACACACCACTTCCGACAAATGGTTGTCCACAGTCTGGAGTTTGATCCTGACTGGTTCAAATGGACTCAGCCTTCCGTCCTTCCGAGGTGGGTCAAATGAGGACCCAGATTGTTGGGGGCAAGAGGCTGACTCTGTAAACCACTTAGAGAGGCTGTAAAAGTACTGTAAAGTGGTATATAAGTCTAAGTGCTATTGCTATTCCTTCCTTCCTTCCTTCCTTCCTTCCTTCCTTCCTTCCTTCCTTCCTTCCTTCCTTCCTTCCTCCTTCCATCCCTCCCTCTCTTATTCCCTTTCTCCATCTCCTTCCTGGTACCACAGTGGTTAGAATGCAGTATTGCAGGCTAACTCTGCCCACTGCCAGGAGTTCGATCCTGACTGGCTCAAGGTCGACTCAGCCTTCCATCCTTCCGAGGTGGATAAAATGAGGACCCAGATTATTGAGGACAATAGGCTGACTCTATAAACCGCTTAGAGAGGGCTGTAAAAGCACTGTGAAGCGGTATATAAGTCTAAGTGCTATTGCTCTGGTAGTAATGCGCTTATATTGTGGTCTGGTTTTCCAGCTTGTGCACAGCACATCACAACCAGCGAAACTTCTTCTTTGAGGAAGAAGTGTTAATTGCAATGCTTTTGAAGTTTCCTAGCAATCAAAGCATTGGATACTTCCTTCAGAACAACAGAAGCGTTACACCACTGCTCAGCGTTAATGATCGGAGGGAATTGGAGTGGCTGTGCCCCAATTCGGAGGAGTTCACTGGCCGCTTTTCTTTGCGATAGATAATGGCCTCTTCGTTTATGAAGCTTAATGCCGGGAAGTCACGAGTGGGCTTTTGAATTTGATGTTTGAAGAAACAAACATGGCCAAGGCAGAGGAACAATGATGGGTTGTTGGGTTTTTTCCCCCCACTCTGAAGATCAAACATCTGAATATAAAATGCTCAACAGCCGTGTGGGGCAGCAGCCAAAAAAGCCAACGCATTCCCAGGCTGCATTAACAGAGGGATGGAATCAAGATCACGTGAAGTGTTAGTGCCGCTTTATAAGGCCTCGGTAATTTGCAACCGTTTCGGCTCACCACAGTATTAAAAAGATGTCGAGACTCTGGAAACAGGGCGGAAAAGAGCAACGAAGATGATTAGGGGGCTGGAGGCTAAAACATACAAAGAAGAAGGACGTGT